ATAAAAGCGTTTTTGCTGTAAAGAAATGTTGTGACAGCAGTATTTTTTTAAACGTAGTACTGAATTTACTGTTTTATTTTGATATCTTCAAGGGTATTTAGCAGCAGAATGGAGGGGCATTGGCCGCATTACCCGCAACTTTCGAAAATTTTCAACCGACCGACCGAATCCCTGATTTGCTTGGCCCGTAAGAGAGTAAAATTTCGCATGGCTTTCTACGGTACTGTCGATGGATTGAGGATTTTATACAATAATGTAACGTGCACGCCCTACTACGGTCTGGCTTTCAAGGGTCTTATATTACTTCCGTCATTAGTATTCCCGATATTTCCACAAGTCAGAAAAAATAATTAGCAGTGTGTTTGGATCATAATAAATTCAGATTATTAAAAAAAAATCTTTTTCATGAGGGGGCTTATATTCGGGCGAAAACGTTAATATCCGGGAGGTTTGCGTATTTTATGTTCACGGAGATTTACCTCAAAGTACATGCAGGCTGCTTGATGCAGCAACCAGATCAGCATCTGATATTATATTATACTACACAAATTGAATATTTTCCTCGTTGGGGCCTGTTACTAACTCCGTCGAGGAAAATGCTGCGTAAACCTCGGATAATACATTTCTGGACAAATACGTGTGCACGTAGCAAAATTGAAAGGTGATTTCAGGGTTACCCAATACTTGTCGCTGGGCAATTTCACTTCGACAAGTTGAGGGGGTATTGATTTCCAGTCGCTTGATGTGCCCGCGTCCTTGAACGGCCCTTTTTCTGCAACATTGATTCACCATTAATTCCTGTTTTTCTTACCACTATTATTGATTTTGTCGATGTATTCTATTGCAGCAATAACGCTATAGTGGCCCCTAAGTATTCGCGAGCATATTTGCAGTTCGAAGAACTGTCGTTTAGGGGCTGGTTTTGGATGACATCGAACGACATTCGCGCTACATTTGTTAGCACTCACCCGTTGGATGACATCGAACGACATTCGCGTTACATTTCAATGCTCTCACCTTTTGGATGACATCAAACAACATTTGCGTTACATGTATAAGCACTCACTCGTTCGCGCTACAGGGGTCCGGAATAAAGACGGGCGAGCGCCATTGCGACTCGCACTCTGTCGCACCAGAAACCGCACCATCGGCGACATTGCGGGCATCAGTTTCACGGACGTGCTCGCCACCATCCGTTTATAAGTATAGGCTGCTTGTATATTGCATAAAGAAGAAGAAATGAGTTGATTAATTGGTTATGCTGGTAGTTGCTCTTGGCTGACTGAATTGCCCAAAAAAAACTGAATTTGAGGAGATAATGTTTTTCTTTTTTGAGATTGCAGCTCGCCCGGTGTCTTGCCCGCCAACGACGGTACGGCAGTGTGATTGAGATTTGCTTGTACAATAGGAATTAGCCTTGGCCAGTCCCTGTGGTTAAGTTTGTAGTCCAGAAAAAGTACCCGCAGGACTTTCAGAATATCTCGATTCACCCGTTCCACAGACCCGTTAATCCACGGACTGTAGGTCGGCGAAAAGATTTGCTTGCACTACAACCTATTGCACAGCTCGTCGACTACTTCATTCTTGAAATGAGTCCCTTGATCACTAATCCAGTCTTTAGGCACTCCAAACCTGCTGTGCCAATCCATGATAGCATCAGCCGCCACTGTACTTGTTGGGGTCTCACAATTCACAAGCTCGCAGTAGTGACTAGCATCGTCTTTGAGCACCAGTAGATATTGCAGATCACCGTAGGTTTCACCAAGGTAGAGAAAATCCCAGTGTAGCGCTTGATTTCTCTCACTGCATCGGTAGGTTTAACTCCAGGGCCTTGGCACCACCTTCCCCCCTTTTACATGATGGCACAGGAGGCAGCTTGCCAGAAACTTGTCCACGCATTGTCGAAGGGAAGGCACGTAAAAAATTCGACCAAGGTGTGCCAGCATAGCATCCCGGCCTCGATGTCCCTGGGGCCCGCAGTGTGCGATGATGCACAAGCGGCGGAGCAGATTTGAGGCTTCCGTTGGAATGTACAGTCGATTGTCCTTGCGTTGAATCCCGTCACTACCTTCCTGTAGGCGCTGCGTCTCAGACTTGTCCCCGAGTTTGCGTTGGGCATCTAAAATGGAATCTAGGTCGGGCCATACAAAGCCTTCGGCGTCGAGTGGCCGTAGTGATAGACGATCGTGTTGCTGTTGTCCACGGGTTTGAACTTTGCGTATACAAAGGGAATTTGTGGTCGAGCCCACCGAGTTACCATATCAGCCCATACGTTGTCCTCCCCTGCGATGTGGAAGATGTCGTAGCGAAATTCACCAAGACGCATTGCCCACCTCAGTAATTTGCCACGGATATGTTTCTTCACAGTGTCGCTCGGAGCGAACACGTGAATAAGGTTTTTGTGGTCACAATATAGTCGAAAACCACGCGGGCGGAGAAGGAGGTGTGGCAGCTTGTCGCATGCTACCACAATGGCAAAAGCCTCCTTCTCAATAACGCTCCAGTTAGCTTGCGATCCAGTAAATGTACCACTCAGACAGTGAAGAAGTCGATGATTTGCTCCCAAACAAGTCTGTCGCCTCTCCATGTCTCCACGTCAGTCACTATCACACTCCACGCTTCATCGGAAGCATCGGTGAACACTGAAAGTACTCCGTCTGGACTTGGATGTGCCAACATTGCAGCATCGGCGAGGCACATTTTGACTTTATCAAAAGCAGTCGTTTCTTCCTCAGTAAAACTGACTGGTTTTCGAGCAGCAACCCTCTTAGTCCGTTTTCCGTTTCCCAATGTCAAATCAAGACGAGTCTGCAAAGCTTTCACATTGCCTGCATAGTCTACGAGACTGTCGCGCATCCAATTGCACGCACACAGGAACTGCTGCAAATCTCCGGCAGTAGACGGTAATGGCATGGCACGCAGTGCCGCGATTCGCTCAGGGTCATGGCGAACGCCTTCGCCGTCAATAATCTTGCCGCACCACTTGACAGAACGCTGGAAAAGAGAGGACTTGGCTGCACTCAGTTTAAGTCCGAACTCATTCATCAGCGAGAACAATTCCCTAAGTTTCTCCAGGTACGAATCTACGTCCTCTGCATACAGTAATAAATTGTCAATCCACACAAGCAAGTGCTTGTAAAGTAGTTTAGCGAAACAGTGTTCCATTGTCCTCTGAAAATGCAGGGCTGCATCACTGCAACCTTGCGGAACGCGCGTAGGTGTGTAGACTTTGGCATCCGTCATGTAGCTCAGGATCTCTTGGCTTGCTTTAGCGAGAGGCAACTGCCAGAACTCTTTGATGAAATCGAAAAGACCAAAGAAAGCCATTCCACGAACGTGCTCTGTTATTACTTGAAGAATTGACATGAAACCCGCAATTGGCTCCGTTTCTGCATTAACGGGTCGATAGTCACTGGTTTGGCGGAACTCGTCCTTGCCTGGCTTCTTAATCGGTAAAGCAGGGCACGCCCACCGACTTAAGCCATTCTCGAATACCCATCCGAGACGGACCAAATCATCGTTAAACTCATGCAGAAGTTTCCGTATGTGCGGCGGGTACACTCTCGGTTTACACCGAAATGGCGTAGCACCCTTCTTCAGTCGTATTTTCAATGGCGGGACTTTCGCAGGTGGGTCGGGTCCAAGCCGGATCCTCCACACATCATACATATACACAATAGCCCGTAGTTTGTTCTCTTTGTCTGCTGGAAAACCGTTCTCAATAGCTGTAATGACCATGCCCTCAACAGCTTGGCGAACCTCCTCATTTGGTGTACAACCCGCTCCGAAAGCGTCTTCAACTGGTATTGTGTCGTCATCATCCGCTGAGGTCTTCTCAGCCAACTGCTCCAACTGCCGATCAATGCTGATGCCAAGATCAGTGAGTATGTCTTCGCCCATGATGAATTCTTCTTCATCTTCATCAATCACTAACACTTCATACGGCTTGACTGGTCTTACAGGCCCAGCAGCTGTATGTAGCATTATCCGTAGTAGAACGGAGCGACTCGCCAGAATCTTATGTTTTCCGACTGTCTCACAGATGATAGGCGACGCCAACGTTGTGGTTTTCACAAAACTTCCTAATTCCTTCAACTTGATCAGCTTCCGAGCACTGATAATGCTCTTTTCCGCCCCAGTATCGGCGCAGTAGGGCATGGACAGTCTCTCTTCAAGGACGACAGTCTTGTCGTGCCTCGAGAGACAGTCCTTTATGCGCTTTAATCTTCACGCATCGTCGTTAGCGTGCTTGCTATTACGGCGCTCATGCATCTTGCGGAGGAGCTCTTTCTTCTCGTCATTGCTCGCAGTTTGGCAGTGAACAAGCCAATGGTCGCCTTTACACTTAAGACAACATATATTACATAAAAATCGAGATGAGAATCTTGGCAAAGATAAAATATTTTGGAAGACAAGTATACGACGATAGCAGATTGGAGATGGGAATTCACCTTAAACAACTTGAACATTCCTCAACTATAATTGGCTACTTGACGACTAATAAAATTAAGACCAATTAGAACAAGACAAATGGGATGTGCACGCCGGATTCATGCTTAGAATGAGTTCCATGAAATTTATCTTAAAGCTAAACATAGACGATATCCACAAAATTGCTGTAGCTCTTGCATCTGACTGGCTAAAATTAAATAGGGATCATTTGCTTCTTTTTGCGATCAGTTTTTGGCATCAGCTTTGGGCAAATCGGTTAAAGACAGCAATTTGCGACGTGTACTACCTTTACCACAATGAGGTCAATACAACAGTGTGCTTCGAACTGCGAATCCCCCCCCCCCCCCCCGGGTCCACCACCCGGGTCCCCAATTATGGATTGCTTTAGTTTCTGAACCGTACCCTACTTTTTTTATAACCCAATGACATGTAGAAAAGCAACCGGAATTTTACGTTTGCGACCTCAGCTGATGTAGGGCAACGGCATTGCATTATCATTTGCTCTTTATTCACAGCGCTTAATTAGCACATGGCTACAAGCTGGCATCATGACAGGCACGTCCAAGCATCAAAGCCACTCGTATTAATGTTTGGAGATTCAATAGCCGAATACCTGCAACAGCCGTGATGATTGCTCTTCGTTGCGATGATGCCGCTCTGGGAGAGTCTGTACTAGCGCTTGTTTTCCCACTGCTTGCCATGTATTGATCGCTCTCCGCCTTGATGATGCCGCTCTGGAAGCTAAAGTTGTCAACTCGGTGGCTCGACCCCCGCCACAAACTCATTTCCTTTTATTCCTGTTAGGCAGAAGATCCAAGACAAAATGACCGAAGAAGACGTTCAAGCTATTGTCGTGGACAACGGCCCCGGTATGTGCAAGGCTGGTTTCGCCGGCGACGATGCTCCGCGCGCCGTATTCCCATCGATCGTGGGTCGCCCCAAGAATATGTGTGGTGTTTTCCGGAGTTGTTGAGGGAAACTTGAAGACTTGACACTGCAGATGGCTAGTCTGCTATGAAAGGGGCGCCAAGTATATTGAGGTCACCTGAGTAGTGAACTGGAAAAAGTAGAAGTGAGAGGACATTCAGCTAGTAGCTTCCTGCCTGCTCATAGAACATGAATGTACGAAGCCTCTGGATATCAAAGGCAGACTGACGACCAAGACTATCTCTTGGATATCACTCATCTGAAACCGTTGAATATCAGAAGACCCCACTGTCGACCTCAACTGTGTTGTCCAGGCGTCCCCAGATAACACGAGTCATCATCGGCAGTCTTGTTAAACAAATCTGTGCTTGAAGTTGTAGGTGGTGACGGCTTGAAGCCCATGATCCACCACGCAGCCCCCAAAGCTCGACACCACCAGTCCAGCTCTCCGTTCAGAGACTCGAGGCTTGACGTTTGGTTCGCTCGTAGATGCTGCATCGACAGCAGCTCGTGCGCGCGTCCGTCGGCTTATAGGTTCGTCTTCAGCTCGTCCTTCAGCTCCCATATGGGGTGCTAAACGCTTCGGTCTAGTTGTAGCCTTGAGACTGGAAGCTGTAGGCGGAGGAGCGGCCTCCACTAAAACAACTCTGCGCTTCTCTTCGGGACCCTGCGGCACAGATTGTACTCACTGCTCAGCACCAACACCTTTGGTCCCGTTGTTTTGCTGTTTTTCGACCACACGATGCATATCCTGCAGGCTACTGCGCAGCTCGGAAAGGTAGCCTTCAATCTTGTCACTAGCTGGAACCTCTTGTAGAGTTCCTTCACTGGGAATATAAAACTCCTGTAAGGGCGTCGGGCATGAAGGTCCGGTGAAAAGCTCCACAGGTGCGCAGTTACCAAGTGATGGGACGGCAGTATGGTTCAGGCTGGACTGTACCATCGGAGCCAGGTACATCCAGTCCTTGCTGTCGATCTTGTATTCCAGAATGAGAGTTCGCATTACCTGAAGTATGTCCCGGTTCACACGTTGAATTGAACCGTTGATCCACGGGCAGTACGCCGGTGCGAACTGCTGCTTTGACCGCAGTCGTCGGGAAAGCTCCGCCATCACCTCATTTTTAAAATGGCTTCCTTGATCACTGACCCACGTCGGCGCTAATCCAAACCGTGCGTGCCACGCCAGTAGAGCCTCCACAGCAACCGTGGCATCGGCTGTATCTGCCGCCACAAGTTCCACGAAATGAGAAGCATGGTCCTTCAGAACCAACCGGTACTTCGTGCTGCCGAAACCTTCACCCATGTACAGATAGTCGAAATGCAACACACCGTTGCGCGTACTACACTCGATCGTTTCTCCCCATGTTCTTGGGACCACCTTCCCCCCTTTTGTATGCAGGCACAGCCGACACTGGCGAACGAAAGAGGAAATTAGAGACGAGAACTTGTCGATCAAAAAGAGTCGGCTCACGTGGGCTTTCATAGCTGCAAAACCACGATGTCCTCGAGCTCCACAGTGAACAATAATAAAGATCCGCTGGATCAACTGGGCTGCCTCCTGTGGGATCCAAATCTTACCACTTAACGTGACAACACCTTCAGATGTGGAATCGGCGGAAGCAGGTGGAGCACATTTAGCTTGCTCGGCGATGATCTCGCCGAAGGTTGGCCACACAAACTGGTCATCATCAAGCGGACGGAGAGGAGAGAGCGCAGGGGCTATTCGTTCGGGTTGTTCAGCTGCAGATGCACGTCCACGCGTCCGTAGGCTCTTGACCGCGGTTGTAGCAATGTGATTACCGGCCCATCGGCTAATCATGTCCGCCCACACGTTTTGCGGCCCTGCAATGTGTTCGATCACGTAGCGGAAATTCATCAGCTTCAAGGACCACCGAAGTAACTTTCCTTTCACATGCTTCTTCACCGTTTGATCCGGGGCAAACACGTGAATTAGATTGCGATGGTCACAGAACATCCGAAAGCCTTGCGGACGCAGAAGTAAATAATCCAACTTGTCGCAGGCCATTGTGACCGGGAAAGCCTCCTTCTCGATCTCTGTCCAGTTCCGGTGAAGGTGCCACTCATGCACTGGATTAAGCGGTGCTGGTGCTCCACAATTGGCGTTTGAGGGTCGGAATCGGCCACCTGTGTCCCGATAAGAGCCCACCCCACATCTGAAGCGTCCGTAAAGAGGCAGGTGGTTGCAGCATCATCTGGAAAATCAAGTGTAGCCGACGAGACCAACAGATCCTTGATCCTATCAAATGCGTCCTTCTCCGAGTCGTCCAGTTCGATACTGATCCCTGCAGCAGCTCTTTTTGTGCGACGCGTACTGGCCAATGCTTTATCCCGTCGCTGTTGGAGCGGAGAGATCTGCCACGCATAATCCACCAGGCTATCTCGCATCCAGTTTACGGCACATACAAACTGCTTAAGCTCGCCTGCGGTAGTTGGATAGGGAATTGCTCTGAGAGAGTTAATCCTTTCAGAACCATGCTTCACACCCATGGCGTCGATGATCCGACCACACCACTTCACTTCCTGTTGGTAGAGACTCGACTTCTTTACGCTCAGCTTCAAACCAAAGTTGTTCAACAGTGAGAAAAGCTCTGCAAGCTTGTCAAGATAGACGTCGATGTCATCGGCGTACAGCAATAGATTATCTATTCATATCAGCAAGTGCTTGTAGAGTAGTGACGCAAAGCATTGCTCCATTGTCTGCTGGAAAAAGATTCCAGCGTCTCCACAATCTTGCGGAACGCGTCGTGGCGTGAAAATCTTCGCGTCGGTCATATAAGAAAGCCATTCCTGGCGGATTTCGGCAAGTGGCAGCTGCCAGAACCCTTTAAGAAAATCAAACTGCCCGAAATGTTGTTTTCCACGTGCATTTTCCATTACGACCGAGAGAATCGTCGTCACGGCCGCCATAATGTCTGTCTTCGCATTGACAGCTCTATAATCGGTCGTCTGCCTGAGGTCCATCAGCTCGGCTGACTTTTTGACTGGTAAAACCGGGCTTGCCCAGCGGCTCGTCGGGTTCTCGTAGACGAGTCCTAGCGCAACAAGCTTGTCGTTAAATTCTTGTAAATAGTTCCGAATGTGGGGAGGGTATTTGCGCGGCTTACACTTAGTCGGTTGGACCACCTCCTTCAAACGCAGCTCAAGCGTAGGGACACGGGCAGGTGGGTCGTCACGCAGCTCCAAGCGCCACACATCGTACATGTGTACAATGACACGCAGCTTCTCCACTTTCTCCACCGGGAAACCGTTCTCTAGCGCTCGCTTTATCAGTACCTCCACTGCCTCGCGAACCTCTTCGTCAGTCGCGGCTTCTGCTCGACTCACAGGAGGGCCATCAACTTCCAGCTCGAACGGGTCACCTGTGGCATCGTCTTGTTGGCGGTTGGCCAGCTGCTCCAACTGGCGCTCGACGTCTATTCCTAAAATGCTGAGCACATCGCGACCAACTATTAGCTCCTCATCTTGGGTGTCCACAATTAAACACGGTACGGGCTCTGCAATTTCCACAACCCCTGCTGCTGTATGTATCATAAGACGCACCATCGCCTTTGTGTTTGCCACCACGACGTGCGAACCATACGCGATGCACACAATTCGCCAAGGCGTTTCAAACCAGCTTTGCGAGCATTGCTGGCCTCGCGCAGCTTCTGGCGCAGTACTACCTTCTCCGCCTCGGTGACGTCCGGACAGTCGCTTAGCGAATGAATCTGCTGGCACTATGGGCATGGTGACGGCGACTCTCGAGTGGATGCTTTCTTTCCCTTCTTATCCACCTCCTTGCCGACCTTTTTCTGCTCGGTTGACACAGCAGTCTTCTTTTCTTTCTGCTTGCTCGCAGACTTGGACTGGAAAGGCTTCTACCCTTCGGATCTGGCTTCTTGCACTGTAAGGTTGGACCTGTCGACGTCCTTATCTGCTCGACTGGTCTTCAGACGTTTCTGCTGTTGAAAATGGCGCTCGTGCTCCTTCGCACGCTCATACACCAATTTGTACAACTTTACCAGGTTCTTCCCATCCAAGTTTTCTCGTCGACGAAATTACGCCTACTATCAAGCAGACCATGGGCGATCCAATTGCCAAGATATTGGCACAAACATTATTGTGGGCAGCGTTGACACCGGATTCCAGTTTTAACTATTGTTTGCTTCCTGCAAATGTGAAAAAAGAATTTTACGGGCTTATAAAAATGCTGGTGGAAGTTCAGATTTGAATCCAATTCACAGAGAAGAATTGTATGTGTTTGGCGATGGCTCGCATCTCAACCTCGTAGTTGTCGACAATAATCAAAACGGTGGGGCCGAAAATGGTAGTATTACTTTGCCTTCTCGTTGAACCGTGACTGGACGTTCTGGTGGGCACAGCAATCAACGTAAACTAGCTGCTCTGGAGGCTATAATTACATCACGTCGACGATACATGATAGAGATTATGAACGAGAATCAACGAGCCCGAAGTGAATTGCTGCGAGAGCTACAAAAGGTTTTTGCCGTGTTGAAGCGACTGGCCATGCAGCCAACCGCTCGCCAAATTATGCCTTCCAGTGGAGTGCTGCGGCCAGCCACAGATCCTGCGAGCTCTCAGTCTCGCGCGCGACCTGTCATTGCTCGTCTCTCCGAGAGGCCTAAGGACCTTTACGAACTATGGCACGAGTATCAGTTCGGTATCAGCGGATTGAACACGGCTAAGGAATTCACGCCTGCTGAGCGAGGTGCAAACAAATTTGCATATTCCAGAAGAAATCTTTTTGGGATGTAATTACCAAACCGGTGCATCTGACCAACTGCGCCCGACCGAAGAAAAGAGACAAACATCGGTTATCTTTGTATGGTGCGTATACATTGTATAATCCGAATGCCAACACATAGTGAATTTTACTGACATATATCAGTACAACTATGTGTGGCGAAGCGCGGTGAACACTCCGCCGACAAAGGGGCGTATAGTGAGACCCGGACTTGGGGGGTCAACTTCTAGGATGTTAACACCAGAAATAACCCGAAAGTCGAGTTGGCGTGTGACCTTGTGGCTTATCCTCGTAGGTGTCGAATCGCTGGATTTGGCGCTTCGGTATCACCGTATATAGGATACACCTAGATCAAAGGGGTAAATGCAGAGAACTTCCAGGTACTGAGCAATCTGGTAGTTCCGAATGTAGTGAGGGAATCACAGGTAGAGACCTCCTCCAGGTAACCAATACAAATATACAATATATAAGAGTTCGTATACAAACA